GGGTGTATATATACAGGGAGGGTGAGACCAGGTCACAATGGTCCTGTATTAGAAGCAAAGATTAGTAGGGTCTACCTAATGCCTGACCGCTCATGAACAGTCACCAGCACTTTCTCGTATTTCTTCTTTCAGTTATCAAAATAGAAGTCCAAAAATCCGGACTGCTTGGGGATTGGGTCGGTCCGGATTTTCGGATTTTCCGGATTCTCAGGCAATACTTTTAAAATTCAAATTTAATGAAGAATAAAGAAGAAATGAACAGGTACATTTTGATAGTTTATTCATTTGCAAATATAGCATGCTTCATTTATCAAAACGAGCAGTTTTAATGAAACAGCTGTGAATTCTAAATTTTTTTTTTTGCCTTTTATATATCATAAATTGTAGGCTTTCCAATGTCGTATGTTTCCATTAGAACAGTATTGCTCACACCACGATCTAGTTTCTTAATTATTTCAAGTTTGTCACTCAATTTCAATGTGTTCTTCTTTCTCTTCACACAACGAAGTTTATCTACTTTAGGAGCCATTATTATGGGCTTGTACAGTACTCTGTAAATGGAAAGAGTAGGACTCAAAATATTGATATATTACAATGGTATTCTATTCATACTGTGCTTGATATAATGCATTCACGGAAATGTAATATTTTTGCTGAACGTACGTATTACAGTGGAAAGTGGGATAAAATCGTGATGAAAACAATGACTTTCGCTTTCTTTCGTTCAAAAGATGTTACCGTAATCGCTTTTCGAATGGTTTTCAGTTCAAAAACTGTTGTATTACAATAATATTCTATCCTAATTGACTTGAATAAATACTAGGATACCATATTTCTGAATATTTTCATTAAAATCCATCAAAATCATTTTCCTTGTCATAGTCTGCAGCACCAAACAGTTTCTCCCAGTCCTCTCTTTGAACAGGGCTAGAGGGTACGTGTTTTTCGAATCGTTTTCAGTTAAAAAACTATTACATCACTCGTCTATTTTACCTAAACTGCGCCTGAATGAATATATTCTCGTAGATAAATAGTAGTTTTGTGGAAACGTGATGTATTTCAATGTAAAATAGGATAAAATACATGACGAAAAGAAAAGACTTTACCTAAGCTTCCAATGTTCTTGAGATGTTACTCGTTTTTTTAATAGTTTTCGGTTAAAATTCTGATATATTACAATGATATTCTATTCATACTGTGCTTGATATAATACATTCACGGAAATGTAATATTTTTCCTGAAATTACATACGTATTACAGTGGAAAGTGGGATAAAATCATGACGAAAACAATGACTTTCGCTTTCTTTCGTTCAAAAGATGTTACCGTAATCGCTTTTCGAATGGTTTAGTTTAAAAACTGTTGTATTTCAATAATATTCCCTCCTAATTGACTTGAATAAATACTTGAATGGAAATATACAATATTTTTGTTGAAACTACCCGGGTTTCAGTGTAAAGTGTCGTAATAATAAATGGTAAACAATTTGCCTTCAGCACTTGTGTTTCATGCACGGCGAGCCTCAGTTTATAGGACGTAGAGCGTTTTTAGTGGTTTTGTTGTTCCATTACCCTCAAAAACGTGGGTGGAACTATAAACAAGGAATATCATAAATTAACGATTTCTTGGTCAAAAAATCAGGGTCGACTGATAACGAGGGGGGGTTATAGACGAGTATATACGGTATGTTGTCACAGTTTGATTGCCCATTTTAAAGTGGCGACCACGTGGTCGCTTGTTGTCGCTGTGCAGCTGTGGCGCTCACGCATGCGCACATGCACACAAATGCCCGCTAAAAAAAAATCGTTTTTGAAAAGTCCGGATTCTCGGGTGGTCCGGATTTCTGGCATCCGGATTTTTGGACTTTTACTGTGTATATATATATATATATATATATATATATATATATATATATATATATATATATATATATATATATAGATAGATAGATAGATAGATAGATAGATAGATAGATAGATAGATAGATAGATAGATAGATAGATATATATATATATATATAAATTGTAATTTACACATTATTCATATAATGCTACAGCGCCCACAAAACATGAGAAACGTTTGAGTCCCCCAGTAAAGATGTCCGTTCTCTATCCACTTCAGGATGTCTTAGTCCTCCGTTTTCTTTTTGTGTACTCTCTCAGGGACTCAAGTATTTCTGTATATAACACAGGATGATAAGGGAATTTTAAATTATGAGTGAATGAATTTAATATACAGTGATCAATTAACATAGTTTTGATGTGTTTAAGTAGTATTCAGGCACCTTCAGCCTAGTAATGTTACTACATTTGTATCACTCACTCTAAACCACGAATTCCATCCATAGAGAGAGAGGGAGAGGCCAAGCGCTCTGTTTACATCACACACACATAAATATTACATAAATTATGTCAAACGTGAACTGTAAACACTGTGTGTGATGTCAACAGAGCGCGGGTGTAAAACGCTACGTAATTTGATTTTCTCTTTTATTTAAAATTTTACAATTTACATATACTTACATATACTGTACAGGTATACTGTATACATAAATATTACATACATTAATTCTGCAATTGTTCACAAACAAAACACATAACTCACTTGAACATGTGATGTCGAACGTGAACCGTAAACACTGCATAACCCCGCGCCAAGCCACAACAACCTTTCGAGTAGACTCGCGTTAGAGCAAACGCGTTCGCGTTTTACAAATATTGTTCCTCTATTCATCAATCGCGTTAGAGCCAATTCGCGTTGTCAAAACACGCGTTATAGCAGAACTCACTGTACACTTTCCAAATTAGATGATCTCCCACCAATCACATTTCAGGATGCAATCATTCTGCCAAATTCTAATATTGATATGCTAGGCCTCACCATTTCCTCTAATATGTCATGGAAGCAGGCCCGTCCTTAGGGGGGGAGGGGGGGGAGCGGCGAACAGGGGCGACCACCGGGGCCCCGCGCATGTGGGGGCCCCGCGGGGCCCAGCACTAGATCCAGTGACCTCGGACACATTACCTGTTGACTGGTTAATCTGACCTGACGGCTTACGCCACCATCACAACCGTGACCTTACCATCCATAGCGACAGTCCCATGGGGGTTGGTGGGGGTGGGTTGCTCTGACCACATAACCTGATTCCATAATCCATTGCACTCCACTCCACACAGCCAGTCCACCAGGGTCAGTAACCAGTGAGATCAGATTGTGTCTTGTCCTGTGAGCTGTGACTCCTGCCTTTTGAGTTTTGTGGATTTACTATTTTTTTGTAAGAAACATGGCAAGCAGAGACAGAGACAGATACAGAAAATACATCTCGGGGCAGTGAAAAGGCAAAAGAAAAGGAAACAAGAAGAAATTGATAATGTATTGAAAGGTTCCCTTGACAAATTTGTGTTACAAAAAATTCCAGTAACTACAGTATTACCCCGCCTAACGCGGTTTCACTTAGCGCGTTTTACCATATACGCCGTGCCTCGCCAGAGCTGAACTTTCACTTAACGCGGGTTTTTTCCACATATACGCGGTGAGTGTCCGGCTCGAGAGCTATTTTTAGATTCGCCGCCACCCTGCCTGACTGCCTGTTTTAGCTCATAAAATTCATACAAATTACCCAGCCAGAATATAATTTACATTGCTGGAATTCTTACAATATGATGATCATTTTGAATATAAACATCATAGATTTTGCATTAGACATACAAATTTTAGATATAAAGTTTATTCTGAGTAAATATGTTATTTTTTGTGCAAAATATATGACATTTGTATTCAAAATATTCCTGGGCTTTCAAGGAATCCAGCAATGTCAATTATATTATCCTAACTTTAGTTTGAGGTATTATTTATTACTAAAAAGGTAAATATTCTGGTTTTCCCACACATCTGGTGAGACGGTTGGTGGGGGGGAGGGGGGGATGGAGGGACCGACCGACCGACCATCTGTTACAGTGAAGAATATTTATTTTTTTTTATTAACTGAAGATATTTGTTTTAGCTCATAAAATTCATACAAATAACCCAGCCAGAATATAATTTACATTGCTGGAATTCTTATAATTTGATGATCATTTTGAATATAAACATCATAGATTTTGCATTAGACATACAAATTTTAGATGTAATGTTTACTCTTGAGTAAATATGTTATCTTTTGTGCAAAATATATGACATTTATATTCAAAATATTCCTGGTCTTACAAGGAATCCAGCAATGTCAATTATATTATCCTAACTTTAATCTGAGGTATTATTTAATACTAAATGTTAAAAACTCTTGAAGGGAGGATTGGTGGGGGGTGGGGGGAGGGTTGGGACTGACCGCGCGGTTGAAGAGGGGGGGAGGCAAGTTGGGGTACTTTGATTGACAGATAGTGTTGTGAAGAATATTTTTTTTTTATTAACTGAAGATATTTGTTTTAGCTCATAAAATTCATACAAATTACCCGGCCAGAATATAATTTACATTGCTGGAATTCTTACAATTTGGTGATCATTTTGAATATAAACATCATAGATTTTGCATTAGACATACAAATTTTAGATGTAAAGTTTATTCTGAGTAAATATGTTATCTTTTGTGCAAAATATATGACATTTATATTCAAAATATTCCTGGTCTTACAAGGAATCCAGCAATGTCAATTATATTATCCTAACTTTAGTTTGAGGAAT